ATTTCATCTGAGTAATTACGTTAACATTGAAGCTCGACCCAAAAAACTACTCTGATTTTTCATTTTCAAGACCCAAAGGGGAAATTAAAATCATCCAACCCCTCGATATATGAAAAAAGCGTTCTAAATATTTACATCGGTCTGACGATTGAAAGGGGGCCCGTTTAGTGGAAAACGTTTTTTTGGCCTAAAATAAATTAACGATGTTTTTTTTCTCCATAAAACCCTTTTATTTTCAAGGGTAAAAGTAACAAATTCTAGACTTTTCCTTTGCCCCCAGAGTTCCTGATACATATTCGCGGGGTTTTTTCCAGCAAAATTTTACGAAAAATTGGGTCAAAATATCCCCGAATTTTTATTCTCAGAATTGTACTTAATGTCCCCCCTGGGTTTAAAGATCGCTGAAGGTGCCTCTTTCCCGAACAGGCCCGGGGGACTTACTACAATTCTGAAAGAAAACTTTTACGGGGGTGCGGTGAATATAGTGTTTTAAATTTGGTACGGCGAGAATTTTATTTTGAAAATTTCGGGCTTGGGTTTTAAATCACTTTTTTGTATAATAAAAAATTTATCACGCGCCGCGAGGGGTACGGAGCGTGTAGACCCTGAGCTGGCTTGTGATTATACTATTATTATTATTATTTTTGGGAGCGCATGCAGCACGTACGCCAAACTTTCTCAAGTAAAAGTAAACCAACGTGCAGTTTTTTCCCAACGTACACAAATTCTTTTAATTTAAACCCAAAATTAAAATAGAAGTGAATTAAAACTCTGACCAAAAAAAACGTGAGTTCTGAGTTTTTTGCGAAGGGGTTTGGGAATTTCGATTACTTTTATAATAGGGGGGCTTTTCACATTTTACGAAATCACTTTTTAAAAACACTTTTTACACCCCCCCCCCCCTCCGAAAACGGGTTTACAAATACCCTTAATATAAAAATTTTACGCACATTTGGGGAAAAATCCCGAAGTCGGGTTTGCCTTAAATAATTTAAATGCTACCCGGGTTGAAATTTGATCACAAAAGGGGTGGGTTTTTAATTCCTCATAAAATTAAAAGGAATTAGGTCAAATTTTTTGTTTGGTTTCTGAAAATTTTTTTGGGTTTAAAACCAAGGGTTTGGGGGCCCCGAAATAAAAGGGGTTTTTGGGTTTGGGTTTAATTAGTTTGCCGTCACAGCCAAACAAAAAAAAAGGTTAAATTTATTTTACGTGATAGTCCAGTGTAGAGGGAAAAAGCGGTTTTTTTGTATTCATCCCCCAAGTTTTTACGCATCGGGGGCTTAAAGTAATAATTTGCCCAAACAAAATTTGGGAAAATTTCAGTGTATGAAAAATAGCCCCAAATTAAAGGTTTACCCTCCCGTATCAACCGAAAGCATTTGGAAACCCCCTCCCCCCTCAGCTGATTCCCGTTTATGTGAACGCCCCCTTTAGGGTTTATCATATATCAGGGGCATAAAATGGATATTGAAAGTGCCAACAAGAATTTTTTTTGCGTATTAACCCAGAATTTCTAAAAAAAGATCGGGGGAATGGGGGATAAAAGTAAAACATGCTTTGATCAAAATAAATTCAAACCCAAATTTTATAACCAAACACGAAATTACTAACTTTTTTAAAATCAGAAATCATGGGATACAACGCCCTTTTTTTTTGTAACAAAATTTCCCTGTTTCCCCAAAAACCCCCAAAATTGGTCATTAATCAAGGGCCTTTTTGACGTTTTTTCGATTGAATTGCCCCCATCTTTTAAAATCAAAAATTCAGGGATACAAGGGACATTTTATGATAACAAATTCGTTTCTCCGTTAGACCCGAAAATGGTCTTTAATCAATGGCCTTTGAGTTTTTCGTTTAAAATTTACCCCCTTTTAAACTTAAATGGGGCTTCTCTTTTCCGAAATATTTTTGCCAAGTATTAGATATATTTGTATCTGACGAAACGACCCAAAACTTTTTTTTTAAAAAGTACTTTTGGGGCAAAGAAAAAAGGGCACCGATCCATACCCCCAACAAAAACAATTACAGGCCCCTTTCTATCGACGGGTTAAAGCGCACTGCTATTGCTGCTCTCCCAATCATGCTAAAAAAAGGCTTTCCCATTATTCCCCCAAACCACGGCCCCCGGAAACCGGCCCAAATTAAAAGCTTTTCGGTATTTTTTGTTATTTTGAGCTTTAAACGGCTATTTTTTGGGCCACCGTGGGTATACTCCCAAAGTTTTTTAAAAAATTGCCCAAACTCAACACCTTCAAACTTTTAATTCATAAATCATATTTTTAAATTACCAAAACTTTTTAAAAAAGCCGAAAATTTTTTTTGATTAGGGAGTTTTACAAAAACCACTGGTGCCCATCGCTCTCAGCATTTCACCAAAACGTTTTAAATAATAAGCGGTTACTAAACAGCCCCTGCATTTAAAACGACCCTTTTTCCTTGTTTAAAAAGGGATTAAAGGGCTAGCATCCAGCCCAATTAATAAATTACAAAAAATATTAAAAAAACCCTCTGGCACTTAAAAATTTGGTATTCCTAAGTTTCTGTAAAAAGGACAGTGTGATTTACAAAAATTTTTGATTTAAAGGGTCACACACAGCCAACTTTTGGCCCGGATTGCTCGGAGCATTGGACAATCACTCCTTTAAAAAAATTCCCCAAATTTTTTTGGTTTTTAATAAAGGGGGGTTTTCATGCAATCCAACTTTCCCACCAAATGTAAAATATGGGGAAACCTGGACAGCTGCACGATGGTGAGGGCGGGTAAAGGGGTTTTATGAAGGTAAATTCCAAATTTGTTCTTTCTTTTTTCCGGTCCCCCAAAGGAGCAGGCCGTTTGGTTCGAACTCCGGGGGGCCCTGGTGGGGCGCCTTTTTTTGGGGTGGGGTTTTGGTTTTTCCTTGGGTCCTTCTTGGGGGCTTCCCCGTGCGTTCTTGGGAAAAGGGGGTTTTTTTGGGGGGAAAAATTTTTCCTCTATTTTGGGAAAAATTTTGACAAATAGCAAAAATAAGCAAAGAGTCGAAATTCCTAAATCTCTAACCCGATCTCTAACGGTTTTAAAAACTTTTGTATTATTTTTGGGGATGAGTTTTAAAGTCCCTCTTGCGCGCAAAGTAGTCGTGAGACTGGGATTTACCGGTTTAAAAAATGGACATAATACAATCTTTTCCCCCGAAACTCGAAAAAAAGTAATTTTTTTTTAATTTTAGGGTACATGTTGCTTCATAAGTTGTATATAAACATGGCCATTCTGCACAATTGCACACATTCAAAAACCTTTTAGGGCCCTTCATAGCCCAATAACCAGATACCCATAGTTTTGCATGATTTCTGGAACCGAAAATCAGTTTTTCGCCAATAACTGAAAAAGTAAGCACTTTAAGGCATATGTTTGTTCGGTAAGTCATATATTAATATGCTAATTGCGGTTCTTTTGCATCCTGTCTGAAGACTCCATCACGATCATATCGAAAATGGGCCGTTAGCACCACGCCCCAAAAATGGTTTTTGGCGAATTTATCGAACAAGTAAGGATTTTAGGCCATGTGTTGCTCAATAACTCCTATATAACATGCATATGCGGCTTCGTTCAAGCCTATTTTGAAGTCCCTACGACCCTTCAGAAGCTAAGGGGTCGGTTACGTTATTGGGTCAATATGGGCGTGGCCCTCCTGGTTTTCTCCACGGTCAAAAAAATGTCTCCAAACGAAAATCGTTTAATCATAACTTCGGGAAGGTCTGTGCAAAGTTTCGTGAGTATTTAGAACATTTGCAGGTTCATTTCCATAAATGTCCATAAATGACTGGACTACACAACTTTAGAGTTAACTTTAGAGAAAACTTCATAAGTCATTTATCCTCAAATTAAGCTGTTAGTGTCCCATGATCAACCTCTGGCGACAATGTTTTACGTGAAATGTAAAAATCAGGAGTAATATAAAAAAGGTTTTTTTAGATTAAAGTGCTAGCTCATAGTTTTAGAATTGTATAGATTAACGTTGGTCATTTAGCCATCTAACAATCGATCGTGCCGTAGTTTATTTATGTTATGCCACCGATGATAATGCATTTAGGATAACAACTAGGTAAGCCAGGAAGTCTAATTCAAAACACACCTCACACCGTACACACCTCCATTCAGTAATTTTAACTATTTGGTAGACAGGGTATTTTGGCGGGAATTCTGTTCCCACGGCACTGTTTCTGATAGAACTACTTCTACTAATGGTCCCAGAGGAACGGCCGTAAAGTAGCCAGACTTCTTGTCTCCTGTACTGGCAGACACTTGCAGATTAAGTTTAGAAATTTCGCTATGCTATAAATATAATTGCTCTCGGAATTGAACAAACTCCTACTTATCTGTATCCTTTCTAAATTCGTTAGAGTTTCATGGACTGGGGAAAAATAATCGGTACAGTCTCCCTGCTTGTGTAATTAAGCAATGAAAACAATCCAAAATTATCACATATGACATAAGTATTAAGTTGTAATAGCAGAAACTTTCTAACCGTACATTCACCCGCCACTGTTCAAGAACCTATATCACTGTTTAAAATCATGACGTGAGCACTGTACATCCAATCAGCTATTCCTTTAGTTAGGATGATAGCCAAAACTATAAGGATTTTGGAGAACTAGGGTAATAGTCATAATTCTAAATTTGAGTGAGTTACACGTGTTTTATTGACGATGATAAACATTTGTAATGTAAATTACGCTATGCAAGCGCGCACTGAGGGACTTTATGACGTCACGAGGCCACAGCTTATTATTGCAATAACACGCGTTACACGTACGCTAGAGAGTTGGTTCTTTCGGCGATACGATTCTTTACCAGTTTGTCACAGCTGATTTAAATCTTAGCCAAATTGGAGACTACAAATTTTTCAGTTAACTGGTCCTTTAATAGTTATAATTATGGTGAATGGGGGCGAGTGGTTTCAACAATATCTGGTAGAACACTATAAGGATTTATGGCCTCCATTCTCCCTGGACCATACTGGAAGCCTGCCTGTTTAACCTCGTGTGCTCTGATTACATGAGAGAGTTTATTTCTCTTCAGAAATGCTTCTAAGCCTCTCGAGAGAAAAGGTAGGCCGTTCCTCGCCGATGGTTTGCGATTAAAACCTCCAGAGTCTTTTACTTCCTCTTTAGTTTGTGTATCAAGTTCATCCTCTCTGTAGGATATATATTATTGTTTTATATTTGATTTTAATTATTCTAAATGAAATGAGATTAAAAATCCTTCCAGCCAGTTTTTCTCTGGAAGAATACAAATTCACAATTACCTCAGAGGATCTGACCACATCACCTCCCAAGCCAGCCTGGATTCCTTCTCAGGGTTAGGAAGATCGTGAGGAATGTCCTCGAACACGGACAAATACCCACCACCATTCTCAGGAGAGGGTATACCTCCGTGTACGCAAAATATCTGAAAGGAGGAAAAGTATAGATATTAAAGTTAGATCAGCTAGAGAAAAATTAAAATGTGCTGAAAGACAGAGCCCAGAAACCAACTGCTTTTAGTGTGTTTAGAGTTGGCTTTTTTGTAATAAACTACACAGGCCCCTGCTAAAATATTCAACGTGCTGTTGTGGTAATTAATAACCTTATCATCTATAACTGCCGCCAAGGGTAGAGCGTCAAAACACTTGTTGACAGCCTCCCACACTTTCTCTCCCATGATATCTCCAAACTTTGATAAGCACTCTGATTTGAAAGTAAACATCTGCTGAATATTCCTCACTTCGTGGTTGCCTGGATATAATGTGTAATAGTTACTTTTGATATCGTGATAACTGTGTTCACTGTAAACGGTAAAAAAGAAAATACTGCAAGTGCAAGTCTGTGCAATGACGTCGTCCCACAATATATGCTTTTATTTGATTATCAATAAAAAATGTTTATCGTGATTTGCGATGAACCTTCTGCAACTGTGAACAATGAATAAGGGCCGATAAGATAAACTGATAAATGGATTTTAATACCCATATTGGAAGTAAAACCGAAATAATTAGCTGATTTTACCTCTGATAAGAAAGAATTTCTGAGGAGCGATCAGTTTCTGAGCAAAAAGGTAAGCGACCACTTCTAACCCATAATCTCCTCTGTCGACGTAGTCACCCAGGAATAAGAAGTTACTGGGGGTCAGCACTGGACCCATCCTCCATAACACCTACAAAAGGAATCATCAAATTATTATAAGTACGAGGGCCAGGGATTCAAGGTTGTGACAACAGTTTTTCTAGAGGGTGAGAATGACACAACCATATTGAGGGACTCTTAAATTTTATATTTACACTTTAAAAACATATAAAAACCATGTATTAAGGGGGATTTTCAATCGTGCGCCCTGAAAATCGAGTCTAAAAATCTATCTTCTCCTACATTTTTTGAGCAATCACCCTGAAACGTTCAGGATATGTTCTAGGGGTCATTTAGAAGAGATCAATCGAGCCGAATTTTGAGATAGGCCTTAGAAACTTTTTTATTCGATTTTGAAAATCTTGGTCCTGGAAAAATTGTCAAAAAATGAAGTTTCAGGGTGATTGCTCAAAAAATGTAGGAGAAGATAGATTTTTAGACTCGTGCAATACAAGACAACTGTCCAACAAGTTTCCATGGAAATCCTTGGGCAAAGACCTCGAAAAAAGAAGGACAGGCACCAATCTCAGAAGACAAAAGAATTATTGAAGAACCGTAAGGAATTTAAGCGTAAAGACCCTAATTCGAACGCTAACAGGTCAGAGTATTCTAGATTGAATAAGCTCTTTAAAAAAAAGTAGCAAGGTGGACGATAACAACTGGGCACGTAGAATGGCCAATGACTTGGAAGAAGCTGCGAGAAAAGGTCAGCAACGTGAGGTATGGCAGAAGATCAATGTCATATCTGGAAAGAAGAAGAAGCAGTCAACTGCAGTTAGAGACGTATCTGGCCAGTTGATTGCCGACCCACATGCCCAGAAAGAAAGGTGGAAAGAGCACTTCTCTAGGCTATTGAACCCTCCCCGCAAGAGGCCAATATTTCTGACCTTGACAACATCCCTCCGCAACCCAGTTTTGACGACCTTTCCGATTCGGATGAAGCTCCTACAAGAAACGAGATTGTTGATGCCCTCAAAAAACTCAAGAATCACAAAAGTCCAGGAGTGGATGGTATCACCAACGAGCAACTTAAGTATGGACAGGATGGGTTGGTCGATCAACTAGTTGTGTTGTTCAAGAAAGTGTGGGAAGATGAGAAGATTCCTGAGGATTGGTCCAAAGGTGTTATTATCATCGTTGGAAAGAAAGGTGACACCTCTCATTGCGCTAACAACAGAGGCATTACATTAAGATCCACAGCCTCGAAGCTCCTGCAGATGATACTTCTGCGGAGACTTAGCAATGGTATGGAAAGATTCCTCCGGGAAAATCAAAGTGGTTTTAGACAGAATCGCTCATGTATTGACCAGGTTTATTCACTCCGCTGTATTATACACCAATGCATTGAGTATAATATCCCTCTGTATATTAATTTTGTTGATTTCAAAGCAGCTTTTGATTCAATTGACAGGCAGTTCATTTGGAGAAGTATGCAGCACTACGGCTTACCTGACAAGTACATTAGAATTATGAAGGCGTTCTTCACTCACACAGTTAGTGCTGTTAGGGTCAATGGAGAGGTTACAGGTTGGTTTGATGTCAACTCGGGTACTGGGCAAGGTGATATACAGGGACCACCAGTCTTCAACTTTTGTTTGAATTTTTCGGCATACCTTATGGAACTGAACAAGGTCATTAGCAAAGGGGCTTTGTTACAGCTGCCAGCCCCCGGGGTAGAAGAGAAACATCTTTTGGACACTGATTACGCTGATGACATGGCTATGTTAGATAACTCAAAAGAGGGGCTGCAGGAAACCACTGACCTTCTCTGCAAATACAGTGCCTATGCGGGTCTGAAGATTAATGCTGGCAAGACACAGAGCATGGCTGTCAGCAAAAGTGCATCGCAGAGGCCGTATTCTAAAGACGACACTATGGACATCAATGTGGAAGGTCTCCCAATACAGCAGGTCAGCAATTTCACTTACTTGGGTGCAATCATCAGTGCGAATGGAACAATTGACAAAGAACTTTCAGCTCGAATTCAAAAGGCCTCTGGGGCATTCTATCAGCTCAGCAGTATTATATGGTACAGTCGCAACATCAAGACTCCAACGAAAATCAGGATTTACAAAGCGGCTGTTCTCACTATACTGCTTTACGGAAGTGAGGTATGGAATACCACACAGACGCAGATGAAAAGATTTGAGGTGTTCCATCATAGATGTCTCAGGAGAATCCTGAAAATAAAATGGTTTTATCATGTATCTAATGCTGATGTACTTAAGCGGGCTAACATCGCCCCTGTTGATACTTTCGTACGAGCAGCTAGACTCCGATGGTTTGGCCATGTGGTGAGGATGCCAGAAGAAAGAATACCCAACTATCTTCTGCACTGGATCCCAAAGCATGGTAAAAGGTCAAGAGGTAGACCTCGGAAAAACTGGTTGTCATGTGTCCGGGAGGATGCAGCAATCTTCACAGGTGTCGATAACATCACGATAGAAGATGCAGAACAACAAGCTACAGACAGGGTTCACTGGAGAGGTCTAATACACCGGAGAAAGGAGTTACTTTGTGGTGCAGGCCACTCCAACGACTAGGAGGAGACCTTTTCAAGTACAAGTAGTGCAATACAATTACACATAAGCGCTGACCTTTGACCAGCGATAATTTCGGCTAGGAACAATATTTTTCCATGGGACCAAAAGCAGCTGATAGATATCACTCCCCTCTATTAGAAACAACTATAAAATCAATTTCGAGAGAATTTTGATGAAGACCCCCCCCCCGGCCCCCTTAAGACCCAACTCCACAGTGCTTACCTTTTCAAAGGCTACAAGGTCGTGGAAGTTGCCGTGAACATCCCCAGGATGTATGTAGGACTGGTAAGGTTGAGCAGACGCGGCTCCGTCACAAACACTTTTTGTACCTGTCAGGAAATTACATTGATTAAAACAAATTCATAAACTTCATCTGGAAGCATCTTGTGTCAATCGAGAAATAGTACAAAAATGTATCTCCCGCCGTAAACTCCACAATTCTAACTCAACACGAACCTGTTCGGCGATACTAAGCATGCAAGTTCCCAGAAGGTTGGGGTCCACACACCCCCAGCTGAAGGCAGATTTGGGTATCCCCTGGTTATTTGGGTCACTCTTGATGTGTCTCTCAAAGTACCGCAGGCCCGACAACATCTCGTTAGGGTTGGAGTGCTAGGGGAAGAATGTGTCAGAGTCCAAATAAATGTGCAGTGCTAATTCAGGGCGATAACTTTAAATAAGAATTAAGGGGGTTACATTATAATCCCTTGTTTTAGTTGTTTTTGTTGGTTTCTGATTGGCGCGATCAGTCTAGCAGACAGCAGCACTGGTTTATAAATGTATAGTCTGCGTGTTTGGACGCTCATTTCAGACAAATTCTCCTGATTGACGTTTAATAGTTGCCGCTACAAATGTTAAAATATCTAGATATTCTAGTGGCATACTTTGCCAGTGCTGTACTTATAACGCTTTATGTCCAGACGAGCATGCCTTGTACTTGATAACCTGGTACAGTGATGATCTGTTCACTGTTACCGTGAACCGCTGGAGTAGCTTTGCAGCAGCGGCAAAACAGAAAGAATCTGCAATCATCACGGTATTTGCTATTCGGGGATGTTTTCTTTGTAATCCAGCGGAATGATCCAACCTCTCATACGCACATACACACACACATACACACACACGCACAATGAATGCTTGTCAGATTCACAGTTCGTCAGTTCAGTTAAACTTGTAAAGACGTGGTTTACCACTTGCTTGAGATGTTCGAACTTTCTCGAACCGTGGCCGTTTGTGTAAATTACTAACCGCAAAGCAATTAGCAACCGCCAACCATCCCATTTTTTATCCAATGCGAATAATTTAACTTTCTGTTCCTTTGTTTTCTGGTTCCAAGTTGAAGTTAGCTCTCTTAAAAGGAATGCTGGACATAAGCGCAGAAATAAAGATATACTAAAACAACAGTCAGGACTCTTTGAGGACTCAAAGAGTACTTATTAGGTCAGAGAGAGACTAAATTCTGCCAGTTTGTTCCTGTGTCCTGAGCCGCGTACGTTTTGGTTTCCATAGCAAATACCTTTTATGTTTGTTGCTTGATCAATTTCACATAGCTGCTCAGTTTTACAAGTTAAGTTAAGTTGGTTTTCTTCGGTATTCTGATCATGAAAAGCAATATCAACAAGGTTGGACTCATTGTACTTTTCAAACAAGTCATACTTGTTCTTCTCAATAGATACATAGATTGTCGCATAATATTAATTATATATTATGCGACAATCTATGTACGTACATAATAAAGTGAACGATCTCGGAGGGTCAGCAGTCTGCCCTCCTGATTCTTCCGAGTCGGAACAGTTACTACCACAAACCAGGATACCCACAAACCAGAATACCCACAAACCACACTAAAGAAAACGCCATCTTTCTTTCCTGGCGATCACAGCCTGCCAGTGAACTGTCATCTTATAATTTAACGGGAATGACAATGCCATCCTGCGTAACCACTCACCACTGTCCGTGAGCAAATAATGAATAATTGATCAGCGGAGACACGACGAAACGGTAAATTTTAAATTCCGTTATTATCCTCAGTATCATACGTCAACGTGATATTCATGTCTATTGTAATAAACATAATATGTCGGTTTCTTTACTATCCGTTATAATATCAGATAACGTGACTTATCACAAAAAAATCAGTTATTAGTGTTCGTTGCTTTCTATTCTTTGCGTTGTTTCCTTTCTTTTTGTTAAGAAGCCCACCTCTATACCACACGTACTAGTAGTTATAACCTGCTAAACGGTAGATTTGCCATTTATACCAGACATGTAATATTGGATGGTACTGCCAATATGATTATTAGAATCTCTAGTTGATTAATGGATAGTGCTGGCTATTGACACTGTGAGCCCCCTGTACTACGGACATATTGTGTGCAATCTTTTAGACAGTCGCTTCACACGACATGATCATTTCATTTAAGAAGTCGTGATCGTTGCAATTAGTAGCTTGTAATGGCCATCTGCTTGTCATTACCTAGTCTATCAACTATTTACTGTGTGATTCTGTCTGCCTCATCCGAGTCATTCACTTAGAAATCCTCCAGGCTTGATTGTTATTCCATTTAACTTTATTACAAGTAATAACCAATAAAATAAACTTACAAAAATAAAGCCGCACTCAAATTTGAATTTCATAATTCGTCCGGTCCCGTTTTGAGTCCCTTTTCAGTCATTTACAGCACTTTCATAATCTCTAAACAATCGCAGATTTCGAGTTAGTAAGTTAGTAAGTGCTACTCTTCTAACCTTCCTTTGTTTACATATAATTATACGTACATGTACATAATATGATAATATGAGTCTACGTTAATAGAGTCTATATCGATTCATGGGTTTACTGCTGACAAGTTGTATCTAGTTGTAGCTATTTTGAACTCATCTTACAATTTACTATTTTCTTTCCATCACTAAGTTTGTATCATTCATAACATTAGGCAAGATCTACCTGTTACAGCAATTATACAGCAATTCATCAATTATAGCTTGAATCGTTTTAACGTATCAACGTATTTCGTGCAAGCTAAGCCATATTTGATAACATTCTCACAGACAATCTGATAGGTATGTAAAGATGTAAGAGAGAGAGAGAGAGAGAGAGAGGTATGTAAATTGTAAGAAGCACTCGAAATACAGCAGTGTGACCAACAAAACCAGATGGCAGACTCAACACTTGCACTCTCCACCTCGCAATACACACTTGGTTCAGACAATGGGACAATTCACAGTTTTTCTACCAACACCACAGACTTTGAACTAAGCGGTCAGCTGAACGACCAGGAGCGGCTTTACCTGCTTGTTTACCATTGTGCCATGTTCATCATAGGAACAATTAGCAACGCCCTACTCTTCATATGTACTCTCAGATTCAAGAAACAGCAGAACACGCACAGCGAGACAGTGTCCGCTCTGCTGGGCAGGGACAAAGAGAGCAACTTCAGAATCAACAGGGTGGTGATCTTGGAGAACTTATCCTTTAACGGTCTCATGATTTGCTTGGCGGTAATTGCGCCAGTGGTAACGACCCACACTGTCAAATACTGGGCTCTAGGTCATGTGATGTGTAAACTGATTGCGCAGAGCACGGAGATTTTATACACTTCGGGGCTATTGGTATACTTTACAATGTCTTTACACCGGCTGGGAGTTGTGGTGTGTCCTTACACCAAAGTCAAACCTACGGAGGTAAAGTTTTTCCAGAATCTTTTTATACTTGAGATGTTTACATGAAGGTATTTCATTGATGATTTGCAAATATGGTATTTTCTTCTTCGGAAGGAGAATGCTATGCTTCTCGAAGTAGGAATAATGATTAATGAGAAATAGAACATTTGCCTAGAAGAGAATTAAGATAACTTGCCCTGTTCACTGTTGTTCAACCAATTTTATTTCAGATCCGTCTACTAACAATGTGGTTGTGGGTAGGAACCACCTTCATGGTGATATTCCTGAACATATTCGTCTTATCCCACGCAGAATTCGACCAGTTTCACGGTACCTGCTCCATTCTTAACCAGGCCTCATTCCTACTACCTCGTTTCGTGATCTACTCTGTCCTATACGGCGGCTCACTTCTGACAATATTCACCTGCGCTGTCTTACTCTCGGTGAAATCTTTCTGCGGGAGAAACCCAGAGCTGGATTCGTCACTGGCGCCGAGTTTGCTATTTTACACCTTCGCGTGGACAGGGCTGCTCGTTAAAATGGTCTCTGTATCTTTCGAGTGGCCCTTGTCCCCGCTAGCTGATGTCGTGACTACGAGCGCCCCAGAGTTGCAGGTCGCGCTGAATCCTCTTCTGGTTTTCTGGCGACACACTCAGCTAAGAGAGACTCTTTCAGATCTTTTCAAATGTGTGGCATGCAGACCAGTGGGTTCAGGAGACGACGAAATGGAAATGGAGGATTGAAGACACTGGTTATTTGCGAAATTAGGGGAGAGAATGAGAAAATAACAAAATTTAACATATTTACTTTTTTACATTAAATAATTACACTTTTTTAAATCAAATATCTTATCTCATAACGAGGGATGTGCATTTAATCAATTATTTCATCAGATCTTATATTCAATGTAAAACCAGATGTCGGTGCTTTCCTTTTCTGAGTAACCTTCTAAAAATAATCCCATAGTTTCCCAGACAATATTATGCGGACATTGCGATAAGAAACTCATATAAAAACCTTTGTGTCGGTACTTCGGTACTTCTGATAACTCAGTAGAAAGGATATGGAGGTTAATTATACGGGGCTCACCTCATTAAATGTATCGACTGAGTGGCTTCTGTCGATAACGAGAGTGTTATAGAGATTACCGTCCTTCTGTTTAGCTTCCTCGTTAGCGCGGCACAGTTGTGCGGAGCTGAGAGTCATGGCCAGATTCTTGACTTGGTCACTTGAGGGTGTAAGGAGATTATTTAACAGAGTTTTTTAATCCTGCTGATATAATATATTATATAAGCTGTTTGAAGGTCTAATATTCTAACAAATGAAGCGTTACAGTTAGAGTTTCACAGTTACAGTTAGAGTTTCACAGTTACAGTTAGAGTATCACAGGTACAGTTAGAGTATCACAGTTACCTGTCCCAGAGAACTGCTACGTCGCTGATTGTGCCCGTTCTTCTTACTTTAACCGTGTGCATGGCCAACTCATATTGCGGATCTGGATGGTGTTTTTCATGTCATATCACTCATACTTTATGCTTTCTAACCAATAAGATATCAGCTTAGAAATAAAGTTAATTCGAGCATAAGAATCATTTCTTATTCATCATTACAAACCTCCTGGTTTGACGTTGTCATTGACGTCATTTGCTGAAAATGTCATTCCTTCCACATTCATATCCTTCGCTTCCTCGTCATTTTTCTGCGTTACCTGCACGTTAACTGTCTTCAGACATCCAATAAGTTAAATTTTAACTGTACACAAGTAAATTTACGGTATGTACCTTCATTTTTACATAATATGATGCTAATAAATATTCAAAATATCACTCATCATCATGCCATATTGATTATTTGGTAGTCTAAGCGAAACTTACTGGGGCTTGTGGACTTCTGACTGCGTCATATTTAACGGCAGATTTCTGTAGTCGGAAGAGGGAGCTCGTTCCCCTGAACTTCAGCATACCAACCGCTGTCAAGAATTCAGTGAGGTACAAGGAAGACTTATCCTCCGAGCTGAACACTCTGAAAGAACATGTTTGTTAGATTTGATAAGAAGTACATGTATAATATAGGCTAGAATAAAGTAATTCATATACTTAGGTAAAAGCGCACTCATCATGTACGTGACTGACCAAGTACGTGCTATTGTTTTAAAACTACAAATTTAAATGAAAGTCGAAGAAATTGTTTTCGTCACTCTTTATCAATTTAATATGGTATGTTCCGTCGAAATTTACCCCTATCATCTACCAGCAATTTCCTATGATCATTGAAAAGAACCCTCCTATCGTAACTTAAATCGGTCGTTAACTATTATTTATTTTTAATAAAATTAAATAATTGAATTAATTCTTGCTTAGCTAGCTTGCTTGCTTGCGCGTCTTGATTGCGCAGTATATTCTACGAAAAGATTATCGCGCGTTACGTATTGACATGTCGGAAGACCCTTTTTTACTTGGTCAGCAGGATTCCCTGTACAGAAATATAGGCCCAGAGTTTAATGAAATGCCGGTGCTTTGGTTAAGTACTCAATATTTTCAGACTATTTCAACTGACTTGTGGTTAATCCGATCGAGTTACAACAATTTTAAGATCATGTGCGAATCAAGGGCTATTAAAATCAGTGGAACTAGTTTAGTAATTGCACGATAACTTTCCTCGGTTAAAGATAATTTTCGAAACGTTTTAACGTGATATCACACAATAAAGCAACTGCATGTTGCACGATAACGCCTGATATTGAACTCGGCTTCGCCTCGTGTGATTAACAGGCTAATCGGCACTCAGTTGCAAGACCGCATATCCGGGCCTATTGGCGTACATAACACAGCATTAACGATCATTATAGTACACCGTCTGCATTCATTTGAATGGAATTTTAAATATTCCGAGCAAAATGATCTTATAGAACAGTGTACTGACTTGGCTAGTTGAACGGCTTCTTCGTGGATCCCTTCAGTAGAAATGTCGGGATTCTTCAATCTCTGAATATCACCGACCATGTGGCTGAGAATATATTTATAGACTGATATTTATAATTAGTTTTCCCCTCTTCCCAAAAATATGTCATCTGTCAGTTGAATATGAGGAAGTTAATTACTTTTCACTTACCAGAATTCCGTGAAGTCAAGTTTACCATCCAAATTCTTGTCGTAGTATCGGAATATGTATCGGCACCTGGTGGGACGAAAGATTCAGTTCAAGTAGTGACAGAGTAATTTAAAAATATAGAAAGGTGGAATTCAACGTTGAATCATTCAATAACATAATGAGTCAATATACTGGATAACGACTAGCACTGACGGTCTGAATCATGCCTAAAACTTATTATATGCACTCTTCAAAGATCTATAACTTTTGAAAGTTTGGAAAGACTCAATTTCCCAGTTTCGACTACAATCTCGACCAGTCACTTTGTCGGGCCACGCCGATTGTTCTCCTTCACAACCACACAATTTGCCCTTACTCTGCACGATAACGAGCAGTACATGAGATGCAGCCACCATTCCTTGCCTCATAAACACAAAACACAATGATATTTTGTTTATCCCTTCATTCATTTATTCGACCTTGAGCACAAAATAATACCAAGTGCGGTGAGCAAGTTCGTTACTGCTTGCATATTTTAACCGCGAAATGGAACTACATCACATTTTCACAGTAAAATCATGCTACTTTGTTTCAATATGTTCCGTGAATATCCCTGGGATTACTCGAGCACGAGATCATAATAATATGCGTAATTTCACCCTACATAACCATTTATTTCCTATCATTTGGTGTATCGCACCTAACTTTCACAATTATATCTTATTTGGACGTTCCTCCTAGTATTACAGCTAGTGTAACCTTTAACCTGCCTGTAATAATATTAAGTTTTGTTTAACGACAGTGAGAGTATCAACTATCACTACATTTTAACACACGGCTCACAGTGCAGGGGACCCTTTACACAATAACAAGGGAGGGGACCTGGGGGCCTGGGGAGGGAGGGGAAGGAGGGTACCTAGGAGCCAGGGGAGGGAGGAGCCTGGGAGGGAGAGGACATGGGGACCTGGGGGCATGGGGAGGGGAGGGAGGGGACCTAGGAGCCAGGGCAGGGAGGGGAGGGAGGGGAGTGAGGGGGCCAGGGGAGGGAGGAAGATTATTCGCAATATATTACCTCATTTCCGCAGAAGAGCTGCCGTGTGGTGTATTAGGATCCATTGCAGCGAGCCCCAATATAAACTCCTGGCTTGTTATCTCGTTATCCTTCTTTATGTCAAACGCTCTGAAAAATTGTGATAAAGTTCGTAGGAAAAGGCAAAGTGAAGTTTCCTTGGAATATATTTTTATATTTAGATTCCTAGCGAAATGTAACATAATATACCACTCAAAGAATTTACTAATCTGAGTTTGAAGACCGGGCTTTAGTACCCCAGAAGTTAAATAACAAACCTGAAGAAGTCAGGGGCTTGATCGGGAGGGAAACCGAACCCAGCCATGAGCTGGGTAAATATCTCCAGTGAAGCTGTGTTCTGCGCTCCACAAACTCGATCAAAGTACTCCATTATTAACGACTGTTCTGTGAAAAGTAGTATAGGTATAATTATCATAATATTATGAGTGTTTTATCGGAAATTTGTGCCTCAAATTTAACATTGAGTTAGCAAATATGCTTATTAAAGTTTTTTTTTCTTTACGACTCAATTTCATTTGAGGTAACCGATATCATGAAGCGGATGTTTTAAACTGTTACGAATCAAATAATCCTGTTCAGGAAAAAATTCAATTTGGCATGCTATAGTACTGAGAGGACGTATTCATAAGGCCTCCCCCAGCCTCGGATCTTAGGATTGGATTTGCAAAAATTCCTAAGACAAACTGCTTAAGAAAAGCTAAGACTGCAAAAAAAGCTGAGACAAAATTTAAGCGAACCTGAGATGTCAAAATAAGCTAAGACAGCGAAAAGCTTAAGACAAAATTTAAGGAAACCTAAGACAGCAGATAATCCTGAGACAAAATTTAAGGAAACCCAAGACAGCGAAAAATCCTAAGACAAAATTTAAGAAATCCTGAGACAGCGAAAAATCCTGAGACAAAATTTAAGAAATCCCGAGACAGCGAAAAAACCTGAGACAAAATTTAAGAAATCCTGAGACAGCGAAAAAACCTAAGACAAAATTTAAGAATCCTGAGACGCGCGAAAAAACCTGAGACAAAATTTAAGAAATCCCGAGACAGCGAAAAATCCTGAGACAAAATTTAAGAAAACCTGAGACAGCGAAAAATCCTGAGACAAAATTTAAGAAAACCTGAGACAGCGAAAAATCTTTAGATACAATTTATACAATAACCACAAGAATATACATGGATATTTTAATTTCTTGCAAAGAATATAATAAATACAATATTACTAGGTATAGTAGGAATGTCAATAAGTCAATAGAATTTGTTTGAAATCTCTATGTGCCTGCTAATGAAGTGAGTATCCCAGATCATATCTTTACAGGTAGGACTGTATAATGGGGGCCCGATGTTATAGCGGACATCATCTCCCCCCCCCCCCCCCCCCCTTACCCCTTCTTACCCCCAGTTCCATAGCGGATATTATGCCAAATTATTGGACGGAGGTCGTCAACTAATATTTCTTCGGATATTTCTCCGGTTTGCAGTTCCATAACCTTATCCGGAGACCATCTACGGTAATTTTGTTGATTCTCACAGAGCAAAGTGCAAAGAAACTGCCGCAAACTGCTACAATCTCCGAGAAATCTACTTATTGAGTTATTGACTAGCTTGCTAAAATTCATCGGCAAATTACCGCTGCTCGAGTTACCTAGCCAGGCCCATTTCAGTTTTGAGTACTGGAGTCGGTTATCTAGTCAAAGCCTAGCTTTTTTGTAACTTGCAAGTGCTTTTGCGGATTGTCGTGGATTTCGGCAAATAGTCGTGGATTTCGGCGATATTTTCAGATTATTCTTCAATGTCCTCAAACCTGAGCACTGGGACTACTTAAGTTTTTGCTACTATCTGAATTATTTGCTCAAGCTACTGGCTCGCTAGGTTCAAAGGTTTATTTCCTATTTATCATGAAAAAAAAATTGTGCTGGGTAAAAGTTTACACGGTGTTCACGCAGGTTTGAACTCCCGACCTCGCGTAGAGCTAGCCGATCGCCTAGCCGCTAAGCTACTCCGGTGATATACTCATGAAATTTTTGATGTAAATATATATTTACCCCTTTTTACCCCCAGTTCCATAGCGGATATTATGCCAAATTATTGGACGGAGATCGTCAACTAATATTTCTTCGGATATTTCTCCGGTTTGCAGTTCCATAACCTTATCCGGAGACCATCTACGGTAATTTTGTTGATTCTCACAGAGCAAAGTGCAAAGAAATTGCCACAAACTGCTACAATCTCCGAGAAATTCCCGGAGAGCTTCATCTCCGTATAATACAGTAGACGGAGCCGGAGAATCATCACCGTAGAAATGGACCTCCGTCTAATAATTTGGCATAATATCCGCTATGGAACTGGGGGGTTAATCTGATTAAAAGCTACAAAAAATTCCAGAAATGAGATGGCTGGTTAAAACCTACCTTTGGAAAGCTCTGATGAACCTGCCCGTGGAGAAATAAACACACTTAACTTCGCCTCAATTGAGCAATAACTATTTATCGCTTATTACTTCATTTATTTTGGATGTACAGAGTGCTTCGTAACTAATTTATTATTACAAAGTTTACTTTCTCATAAGCTAAAACGACAACTAATCTTTCGTTTTACTCCCTACTGTACAGGTTTACTCGTCAATCCAGGTATATGAGAATGTGTGAGAATGGTCTTGAAACTCTGAAAAGAGGGGAGCAGTTTTGGGGACGGAGAGATTGAAGCGGGTGGGCGACAAATGAACCCCCCCCCCCTATTGTAAGCCCCCCGGCTTACAATTGACCCCCCATGCAATTACACTGAGTCAATTGATCTCAGTATAATAACATGGGGGTTAATTGTCGTACTAAGCCCTAGATTGTACCTGCTAATGAGGTGAATATCCCAGATCATAGCTTCACAGGTAGGACTGTATAATGGGGGCCCTGATGTTATAGTGGACATCACTTCCCCTCCCTTATCTGATTAAAGGATACAAAACAGTCAAGAAATGAGATTGGTTAAAACCTACCTTGGGAAAGCTCCGATGGACTAGCCCGTGGAGAAATAAACACACTTAACTTCAGCTCAATTGAGCAATAACTGCCTATTTATTGCTTATAACTTCATTTATTTTGGATGTAGATTGGGCTTCGTTGTGAGATACTATACCTGAGTGATTACTCCGAACTTTCTAAAAAGCTACCAAGTTAACTTTCTGAAAAGCTACAAAGTTAACTTTCCTACTGTACTGGATTACTCGTCAATTCAGGTATAGGAGTATGGATTAGAACGGTCCTGAAACTATGAAAAGAGGGAATTAGCGGTTTTGGGGACGGGAAGATTACAGCATCAAAAACGGGTAGGATGTAGGAGCCTAGGAGGGTAATTATAATAATAAAGGTACTGGGGGATTGAACAACTTACTTACTTTCGGCGATCCTCGATCGAACTCCCGTTCACTGTCTGCCTCCACACGTCTTGATCGCACATAACAGTTCGAAGGTCGTCCAACTGGATCTTTTAATCAGATAAGGGAGGGGAAAGTGATGTCCATTATAACATCAGGGCCCCCATTATACAGTCCTACCTGTGAAGCTATGATCTGGGATATTCACTTCATTAGCAGGTACAATCTAGGGCTTAGTACGACAATTGACCCCCGACAATTAACCCCCATGTTATTATACTGAGATCAATTGACTCAGTGTAATTGCATGGGGGGTCAATTGTAAGCCGGGGGCCACCCGCTTCAATCTCCCCGTCCCCAAAACTGCTTCCCTCTTTTCAGAGTTTCAAGACCATTCTCACACATTCTCATATAACTGGATTGACGAGTAAACCTGTACAGTAGGGAGTAAAACGAAAGATTAGTTGTCGTTTTAGCTTATTAGAAAGTAAACTTTGTAATAATAAATTAGTTACGAAGCACACTGTACATCCAAAATAAATGAAGTAATAAGCGATAAATAGTTATTGCTCAATTGAGGTGAAGTTAAGTGTGTTTATTTCTCCACGGGCAGGTTCATCAGAGCTTTCCAAAGGTAGGTTTTAACCAGCCATCTCATTTCTGGAATTTTTTGTAGCTTTTAATCAGATTAACCCCCCAGTTCCATAGCGGATATTATGCCAAATTATTAGACGGAGGTCCATTTCTACGGTGATGATTCTCCGGCTCCGTCTACTGTATTATACGGAGATGAAGCTCTCCGGGAATTTCTCGGAGATTGTAGCAGTTTGTGGCAATTTCTTTGCACTTTGCTCTGTGAGAATCAACAAAATTACCGTAGATGGTCTCCGGATAAGGTTATGGAACTGCAAACCGGAGAAATATCCGAAGAAATATTAGTTGACGATCTCCGTCCAATAATTTGGCATAATATCCGCTATGGAACTGGGGGTAAAAAGGGGTAAATATATATTTACATCAAAAATTTCATGAGTATATCACCGGAGTAGCTTAGCGGCTAGGCGATCGGCTAGCTCTACGCGAGGTCGGGAGTTCAAACCTGCGTGAACACCGTGTAAACTTTTACCCAGCACAATTTTTTTTTCATGATAAATAGGAAATAAACCTTTGAACCTAGCGAGCCAGTAGCTTGAGCAAATAATTCAGATAGTAGCAAAAACTTAAGTAGTCCCAGTGCTCAGGTTTGAGGACATTGAAGAATAATCTGAAAATATCGCCGAAATCCACGACTATTTGCCGAAATCCACGACAATCCGCAAAAGCACTTGCAAGTTACAAAAAAGCTAGGCTTTGACTAGATAACCGACTCCAGTACTCAAAACTGAAATGGGCCTGGCTAGGTAACTCGAGCAGCGGTAATTTGCCGATGAATTTTAGCAAGCTAGTCAATAACTCAATAAGTAGATTTCTCGGAGATTGTAGCAGTTTGCGGCAGTTTCTTTGCACTTTGCTCTGTGAGAATCAACAAAATTACCGTAGATGGTCTCCGGATAAGGTTATGGAACTGCAAACCGGAGAAATATCCGAAGAAATATTAGTTGACGACCTCCGTCCAATAATTTGGCATAATATCCGCTATGGAACTGGGGGTAAGAAGGGGTAAGGGGGGGGGGGGGGGGGAAGATGATGTCCGCTATAACATCGGGCCCCCATTATACAGTCCTACCTGTAAAGATATGATCTGGGATACTCACTTCATTAGCAGGCACATAGAGGTTTCAGACAAATTCTATTGACTTATTGACATTCCTACTATACCTAGTAATATTGTATTTATTATATTCTTTGCAAGAAATTAAAAGATGTAATATCCATGTATATTCTTTGGT